GACAACTTTAAGTTCATTGATTTGTATTGGAAGGTTTTTGCATATGTGGCCACACCTAATAAAATCTCCATTCCCAATCTGAACACCAAAAGGTGCCACTGTTTGAGTATTAAGTTGCAAATCCTTAACCAATACATCTGAGATAAAATTATGTGTAGATCCCCCATCAATCAAAATAATTTCTTCCGTAGATTGAAGCATACCTTGAACCTTCATGGTTCTGGGGTGGGGTTTTCCAAGGATGGCATGTAAACTGATCGCAACGTCGTTAGTATCTCCTGCCATATATTCGACTTCATTAGGGGACTGTTCTTCAGGCTCTTCTTCCACTTCCAACACCTTGAGAGTTCCTGTTTTAGACCGATAGCCAGGCCCATACTTTTCCCCGCACCGGTAACATTCACCCTTAAGGTAACGAGACTGTCTGTCCGCATCAGAAATTCGTAAGGGTGGTTTGGGATTACTGTTGGTACAATTCGATGTAGGAGTCGTAGCCTTGGACTCGGGTTGGGATGACTTCGATGGTGCTGTCCAAGTTGATCCTCTCCCATAACGGGTGTGGTTGATTTTAGACTCGAATTCCAAAGCGATGCTTACCGCTTTATACACTGTTCGTGGTTTCTGTATTCGTACATCCGCCTTCAATTCTTCTTTGAGGCCATTAAGGAACACTCCCAGGAGACAATGTTCCGGCCAATTGGACACTCGTGAGGAACGTTTGGAAAATTCTTGTCGATACTCTTGCACAGTTCCTGTTTGTTTAACACTACACAAGTATTCGTCCGGATTCTGGAATTCAGTAGGTCCAAAATTTCTCTGCAAGGCTCGAACAAAATCCTCCCAATATTCTATCGTCTGATCGGTCGATATCCATGAATAGAAGTCTAGTGCATCTCCCTCCAAGTGCATCGATGCAACATCTACCTTTTCCTCATCTGGAATGTCATAGTAGCGGAAATATTTCTCTGCCTTAAGAATCCAACCTCGTGGGTCTCCATCGCTAAAGGTAGGAAAAGCAATTTTGTTGTGTGGTCGGTACCTTTGATTATGCCAAGACGATTCCCCTTCATCCTGCTTTCCATTACCCCATCTGTCCTTATTATGCGATTGGGATTTGAGGGCTTCTACCTCCTTCTGCAACGCGTCTATGGACTACAATTTCTTGGCGATCGCGGCTAACTGCATCGCCACCGGATCAGGCGGGTGATTTCCCTTCTCTGAATTGCTCCGAGTCTGCACCATGTCTTTGATTTCCCGGCAATGGAACCAATGATAGTAACCGGAAAAATTAAGCAGTCAAACGATTACAATTTAGATTGATAAAGCCAAATTTGAGATGGCCGGTCTCCTTTGCTAACATGAATACAACAAGTTTATTCCTGACTGCCTCCTAAAAACAAAGACTACAGATTTATTACAGACTAACGATAACTGTTCCTAGAATACAGGTTCAGAACTGCTCCCTCTCATTCAATTTTAAACATTGCATGGTTGACCCAGTGGGTCCATCCAAATTCCAAAAAGGGCATTAAATTGCTCCTACTCATGTCCCTTGCCACGTGTTTTTTTTCTTGTATACACCTGTAGGTTCTTATCATGTTGTTTCTATTTCATTACAATGAAAGCTTTGAACATTTGACTAATATCAAACACTTCTCTTTTAATATACACGTCATTAGTTATTGCAACATTCATGAGGTGGAGGGAATATTATAGTAAAGCATAGTGTAGGTGTGCCTAATTAGTGGTTATTCAGGACTTGCCTAAACAAAGAAGTCCTTTATGTCAATAACTTGGTCATGCCTGTTTGGCTTCATTTAATGTTTGGAGCCTATATCCCGAAGCTTGTTGAACTCTTGATATGAGGTCATTTCTTTAGTCATTTATTAAATTGATAGTGTGTGGGAATGCTTGGTTGAATGTCTTATATATGGTTGTGTATACAAATTGTGGAAAAAAAAAAGAAATGAAGCAATCGTGTATTTTTGGCCATCATGCCACTTAATATGGTTTTTTGAAGCTTTTTACAGCTTTGCATTTGATTTTTATGTTGCTCTTGCTTTTATTAGCACCTGGTATGTAACCACCAACCAGTTTGCATTGCGACAGGCTCTCTGTCGATTTTATCGTGCCTTATAGCTTTTTCTGTTCCTACTTTTACTATAAGATGGAGTATACTGTATATCGGCGTGCTATTGCGCTGGAAGAACTGATAAACTTGCTAATTTTGTTCCACCACGATTCTGAATTCTCTGTCACACATGGCAAAGGTAATTTTTTTTTTTTTGGGAAAGAGGACGGTAGTGCTGGCAAATTTATTGAAAGAATTAAAAGAATACACCTAGAAGGCAAAGATAATTGTTCTTATTTGCTTACTGTTCTTTTGAGAAATTGGATTACGTCTCAAAGGACATGCCATGAAATTGGTTCCATTTGAATATAATTACGCTTAGGATAATGTATGTTACGTCATCATTGAACCCCGTGTTGGGTTTTGGGAGGGTTTGAGTAGGGTTTAATCAATTTAAACCTTCATCATGTCTCAGAGCTCACTTTACCAATTTGCAACCTAGCTGTTGCTCTTTACATGAAATTTAATGTAGCTTGTCAAACAAACTCATTCTCTTCTCTGTAGTTTATGCATAGTTGAATTATGTATGTGTGCATCTGTAGCGTATCTGTGTGTGTACTGTATAGGTGTTTGATGATCGTTTTAAACCATGTTCAAACCATCCATGACCCATTATTTATTTTTTAATTCGATGATTCTATCCATTTCAAGTTGCTAAGATACACATCATTTGCTTTTTTATCAGTTAATATAATACCTTTGTATGCTGGTGCCTGGGTGTGTAGTCTGATTACTTTATTTTCGCTCCTGTGTTTTGCTTCAGATTTTGGTCAGTTCTCTGCGTTGTATGAATCCTGTTTTCCAGTCATCATAGAAGCGTGGGAAAAGTTGCAGACAACTGGGTTTGGAGTTGCTACAGAAGAGGTATACTAGTCAATGATATAGCTTAGGCACCATCGTTTTATAAGCACTCATCTTCTCTATACCAACCAACTGATTTTACCATTTTTACAGTCAAATAGAAGAATGCTGGATAGAGATTGTAAAGCATTTCTTGATCAAATGTATGATGTGAAACTTGAGGAGCTGAATGCTGAGATATTAATATGCATATTCTGGAGGTTACTGGAGGCCTTTATTGCAACAGCTTTTGAGGATGTCTCTAAGGTTTGACAAGGCAGTCACCCTTCTCTAGTTATCATTCAGTTATATGTTGTCTTATCTACACTTGCATTTTATCACTGCGACTCTATTATAAGGCTGTTTTCTTATACTAAACTCTCAACACTTGCAGGATGAAAACAACAAGCGGGAGGCTATTCTTCAGAATCTTTTTATCTTTTTTTCTTCTCATTCAAAGGCTGTTTTCAAGAAGCATCTTCATCATCTTGTTGCAAACCACAAGGTTTCACCAGCTCGGTTTTTGTCCTCATTTTTCACGGATGAAGGTGGGTCAAGGCTCTGACTACTTTTGTTTTGATAATTCTACCGTTTCTTCCACTTTGACAAAGATTTATTTATTTCATGTAATAAATCATAAATCCTCCGGATTAAATTTTATTTTATCACTGATTAACTGTGATCTTGGCTATTTTACCCCTCTGGTATGTTGGGATAAGTGGACTTTTATTTCCAACCTGGTTTTTAATTTTCTAAATGTGAATTTTTGGGGGATTTATATTATCAGAGCTTTAAGCCATCTTCACTTGTGTACGCATTTGTTTGCAGCTAACTGTAGGCCAAGTTAAACCAATTTGCTAAATGTGAATTTTTGTTAATTTGAGTTGACAGGAATATATTTTCTATAGGAAGACTTGATTGTACTATAGTTAGCACCTTTGTAACTTCATGGTATACCCATGGATTAGCCAATTCCTATTTGGAAAAGTGGTAAGGCAACGGGTTTTGGTCCCGCTATTCGGAGGTTCGAATCCTTCCGGGTAAATATGCAAACCTATAGCTGCAGAGGTAGGAATAATGGCACCTGAGCGGAACCCACGTTAGCTCCAAGACGTTGGTCTCTAACTAGAAAAGTAAATGCTTGAGCTTGAGAAGCTTCTGGTCCAGTGGGTCCATTGTTATCATTCAATCCTAATAGCTTGGCGATCTGCCTTCCTTTATATTTCATAGAGAACCATCCTGTGTGTCATATGGAATTATTTTGAAGTGCTAACACGATCTGTGTATTAGTCGTAATATTTTTTGTGGACTCTCTTAAGCATTATCATGTTAAGGGAAATTGAAGCCAAGTAACATGCTACTGCAATACACTGATATCTTATTGTTTCTGTATGAATATTAGGGATTTTTCTGTGCAATTGTCTTCTAATGGTCGTTTTGCTTGTTATCTTCATGATGTTTCTCGTAATATATAGCTGGCAGTGTCTATTGGTTTTTCTTTAGTAAATAATATCAGGTGAAGGTGGATATGGTGATTCCTCTTGAAAGACTTGGGTATTCTTAACTCCTATTGCTTTGTCTATTGCAGTGATACTGCTCTGAAAATATTTAGCAATATTGAACTTCAGAATGGAAGTTCAAAAGGGTTGTTTGCCTTTGCTCATTACATTGAATTATTGTAATGTTATTTATAAGAGCTCTATCATTGCAGGTGTTGCTGTTAGTGTCCAAACAGAGAGTCTACGGTCTTTTGCATTTCTTTGTTTTCAGTTAGAGGAGGGAATCCGTTTCAAAAATGAAATAGATGAAGGTTTACTTCTTCAGCTGCCTGCTGAGTTTCCTTCAGTTCTTGTTCCAATGTCTAGTGATGACCAGGTAAAATCATGTGGCTTGTTCACTATCTCCTTCTTATTAGAGTATTGGTCTTTTTGATTTTACTGATTATTATTCCGGGGGGAAAATATATTTTAATTTTCTATGTTATGAAGTAATATTTATAATTGTATGCATTTTTATTCTTCAGTTCCCTTGTTCATGATTGATGTTTTGCTTGTCAGGGTATACGTGCAGCTGCAATGAGCTGCATTGAAGGGCTATTTTCTTTATGGCCGCATGTTAGTTTATCTGGAGGGAAAAATGGTATTTGTTTGAGCTCAGACATATGTAACTAATGTTTGAGTTGCCTTATAACATCCTATGTTACTCTTCCCACAGGGAGAAGTGCAGCCTGGAGTCATTTCCTTGGAGATCTTTTGGCATTGATAGTTCAGCAGAAGAAGCTTATTTTGTCAGACACAGATTTTCTCTCTGACTTCTTTACAACATTGCTAAGCTCTTCCCATCATAGCTTGTTGGTGCCACAGAGTGTCGGAGAGAGGTTTTTTCTCTAATGATTTTGCTATTTTCTCAATCCTTTTTTTTTTTACTGTATGTTGCAGTATGCTTTGTATCATAATTGTTGTGAGTTATGTTCTTCATAGTTCAATATGAAAGTCCAATATTCTAATTTAACCACTTTGCTTTACATGTAATTTCTATACACCAGCTAGGATATTTGTTCTTTGTTTGAAAGATCTATTTTTCATATTTAAAATGATAACCTTGTAAAGACTTTGCATCTTGAATGCTAATCTCTATCCTCTTAAACTAATCCAGATTTGATCGGCCCACAAAAGATGGGGTACTGAAATTTGTCTTAGGCTCTGCACTAACATTGTCTCCATACGGGATGGTAAGTTCATGCATCATGCTATTCGGTTCTTTTACCTCCCAATTCTTTACTTTGTCTTGGAACTTCTCGTTTGAGTAGTCACATTGAGTTTCATACATTATGGGTTTAGCTATATTGACTTTTTATATGGTTGACATATTGACAGCTGAAAGTACTATCTTTACTGAAAGGTTTGGGAAGCCAAGTTATGGTAGTTAAAGAAGTTAACTCTGTGCTAACTGAACTGTTAGAAAGGCGCAGTTATATTCATTCTGGGTATGACACATCCCGTCAAGCATTGTCAAAGATAGAAGTTAAAATTCTCTGTCTTCTGCTGGAGGTAAATGCTTTTAAGAGGTTGCATGATTATACGTTTAGGATCTCATTCTTTTGTTGAATTTGACTCTTTTTCCCCTCTGTCTTCTTAGTGCTGTACAAAGTCTACCTCTGCAGCTGGTGGGCATGCTGTTGAATTATACATTTTGAAGGCACTTCAGGTAAGTAGCTGCGATAGCGTACAACTCTTTGCCATCACAGTTTTAAGATGCCAACACTTCAAATGAGTTATAAATTCACATTCTTTTTCTCCCTTATCCTGGCAGGTTGATCGTTCATACTCTGAAGACCCTTCTGTTATACAGCCTTGTGTAACTGTTTTAAGATGCCTTAATGGTTCCTTGTATGGAGGTTTCAAGCGTGAAATACAGGTAAGTTCTTTCAATTGGATGCTTCTAAGCTGTTTTTTGATAGTTCTTGGGATTTCTAGCCTGAAATTTAATTTTAGCTGGTGTCAGGCCGTCACCGCTGGCTATTTTCTAAAAGAGGTGGATATCTTTTTGTAGACACTCACCTGTTTACATGGTCGAAGAACATGTAACTGCTGCACTTCTATGAGTTGATAGCATTGTGCAGCTCTTTCTCAAGGAACTGTCAACCAACATGGCAACATATGTTGCACTTTTAGTGTTTCTTCTTTCTTCTGGAGTCATTTAACCTATCTATTCCATTAGGTGTAGTAGGAATTTCTTAAATCGTTAAATTTTCTGTGCAAGTTGCATCATAAAGTCGAATAGAACCTTAATTGTGTTGAAGCTATTTGTTAAATGGGGATTACCTTTTAATCATCTAGCTTTCCATGTATAGTTCCTGCACAACATTTAATGCTCGCATAGTCGCATTTACATGGTTATATAAGCATGATATGTTTTTTTGGATAAAGCGGAAGGAACCACTTTTAAAGTTCTATTCAAGCATGACATGTTTTTGCAGATACAATACATTATACATGTACTTTGACAATGTTCTCTCTGGTGTTGGTATATTTTTTAACCTGATTTGTAATACTACATTTATGCTCCTTTTTCTTTCTTGAAATAGGTATATCTGTAGATTGTATTTAGTAGTGGATAATAAGGTTTATATATACTAGGAGCAACCTTGTCGTGCATGACTCCTGTTATTTAGTTTTTCTTTTGATTATAGTAGTGGGTTGTCTTATTACGTTCTTCTATCTATTTTTTTGGTTTTCGTGGTATATGTCTTGAGGGACCACTGTTAAAGTGTCCCATGTTCTATGGGTCTCTTTGGAAACAACTATTTGCTTATTTCTTCAGTATTTGACATGTCAAATCTTATAAAATACTATGAAGTATGTTTACTAGCAATTCATTCTTACCCAGTGAGCATTTATTAACTTGCAGGAACTTCTCTTTCAAGAACTTGTGTATCTGTTTCGGAGTTATAATGGTGACATTCAGAACGCTGCTAGAGTGGCCTTGTTGCAGATAAACGTGTGTTTATTTCTATATCTTCGTCATTCTTTTGATTTATGTGCCTCTTGTGCCTTATAGATGTGGCTTAAATTCCGAATGCCTTTTGTGTCATATGAATATGTTCAAAATTTGTTGACCCATTTGAGGAAACCTGTATACCTATGATTACATGCTATTTTTTGTTCTTCATATTTTCATGAAACAGTGATAGATAAGCATCTTTTAAAGGAAAATTTTGTTTTCTCTTGAATACTAGGGAAACGAGGCATCAAAATGCCAAAAGTTGTAACCGTCAGAACTCATTTTTTATATACTAATGAAAATTCTGAAAATTTTCAATAAATGCATTATTATTTTCTATATTTTTCAGACATGATAAGTTTTCACTCCAGTTTCTCTAAGAATTTCAATGAAATATCTTCTAGTTACTCAGCAACAATGATACAATTATGTGCTCTTCTAGGCATGTGGACGTCCTGCTTTTCAGATTTCTTTTGATCTTCATACGAGGGAGTCTTTCTCCTGGGTCCTTTGTGCTTGGTCATCTTATGTTTCTTGTTACAGAAAGATCCTTAGTCTTCTATTACCTCTGTAATTTCTAAATTTTCTATATATGTTCAGCACTGTCATCTTGCTTGAATAATTTATTTTCCTACACCTGGAGTATTAAGTTGAAGATGAGGAATAGGGATACTCGAGATGATGTTGATTTCAATTAGATAATCTGATACACTGGGTTGTGAGTCCACAACATTTGGTACGACAGTGAAGGTTCAAATGCTGTTGGTTGTTGAATATGTTTAAGTAGATACAAGGGAATGACTCTATATAAATTTTAGCTTCCCATCCCTAACTACGCCTAGGAGTGTTGGTATGGCAGGTTTCCCTTGTAGATGAAATAGATAGTAAAAGGTTGACGCTGTAAATTTTTTCTTGGGATTCAAAGATGTCTCCCATCAAACCAAAATGCTTGTTGTTCCTCCAGAGTATTATTTTTTCTGTTAGTTGTTCCTTTGTATCTTTGGTGGTCTTTTATATTTTTCTTGTGAGTTGGTTTAACTTCTCTTAACTGTCCCTCAATATTGCAGGTTTCTACCTCGACGATACAGCGGATGCTTGATTTTGTTTTGGAAAAAGCAGCTCCGTCACATGGTTCACCACATGGGAAGAAGAAAAAGAAAGCAATGACCCATCTGAAATCTGAATCAAATAATGATGCGGGTCAGAGGCGCTGCAGCAAGCTCTCATTTCTGAGTTCTCTGCTAGATATTTTGCTACTAAAGAAAGACGTAGTGAACAGGTTTGCCTCCAGTGGTCCATGGATCTTTGAACTTCAGATAGTCGATTAACAGCTGATGGTATCCATATATTAACTGGAATTTTTTGTGGTTCTTATTGACTGAATGGATGGCATACTTGATTTATTTCAGGATTGCTCTTGTAGAGCCACTGTTTAAGCATCTTAGCATAGTTTTTATGGACAAAGAGTGGATATGTGAAGCTGTTAAGCAGGATGAGGAACATGCAGAAGCTTCTTCAGACATTTCACAAAGTACAGCCAGCGCAATATGCTACGTTCAACAGAACCTACTCTCAGTCCTTGAAGATATCTCAAATTCTCTTGTTGCCATCGATAGCATACAGGTTATATTTGCTTTCTTATTTCATGATAAAAACTCAGTGGAACCCATCCATGTATTTACTGCTCATTGATTTTGTAATGTCGTGATTTTATTGCAGGATGGAATTGTTCAGAGTTTTGACATTAAGCTATTAGTTAGTTGTGCTCGGTCTACAGAAGATTCAGCCACACGTAATCATGTCTTTTCATTGTTATCAGCTGTGGCAAAGGTTATACCAGACAGAATTTTAGATTACATACTTGATATTCTGACGGTCATTGGTGAATCAGCTGTAACGCAGGTATATTGATCTTTTCTGCCGGCTGTATTCATATTATATGTATCAAATGTGTGGGAAAGATTGACCTACAACCCAATGATGTATTGCATCTAATAGGCTTTTGATCTTTTTTACATGCCATGATGATGCTGATTAAAAAGGGTTCCTTAATCTCAAGGATATGAAGTAGTTAGTTAAAGTTCTTATCATACTCTTGTTGAAAGTATGATATGATATTTATATGCCATTTAAACTTGTAGCGTTAGCTTTTAGTTTTGAAGTCGTTTTCTCATACAAGTTATTGTTTATAGTGGGATGGTCACTCAAAGAAAGTATTTGAAGACCTAATATCTACTATTGTGCCATGTTGGCTATCGAAGACTGAAAACCCAGACAAACTGTTGCAGGTAATATGATACCATGCTTAATATCTCTACAATGCAGCTACCATAGAAATTGTTTTCCCTTCAACTTAACATGCCAATTCTTTCAGATTTTTCTGAATGTATTGCCTAATGTTGCTGAACATAGGAGACTTTCAATCGTTGTGCACCTCTTGAGGTAATTATGATGAATTTTTATGTTATACCTATCTAGTTTCATTGACCTAACAAGCCTGCTTTACAGGGTTCTAGGGGAGAGTGGCAGTTTAGCTTCACTCCTTGTCCTTCTTTTCCGCTCATTGGCTTCAAAACAGAACTTGTTCGGCCGAGATATTAATAACACTTTGGGGCATTTATCTACTACTGTGTGTATGCAGTGGGAGTACGCCTTTGCCTTGCAAATTTCTGAACAATATTCATGCATGGTATGGCTTCCTTCTCTTGTGACGCTGCTTCAGAAGATTGAGATGGGTGCATGGGACCAGAAACTCTTCGTACAACTTTTAGTTGCAATGCAGTTTATTAGTGACAAATTACAAGACCCTGAAATAGCATTCAAGCTTAAATCTGGTGAAGATGTCAATAGCATTCAGGTCGGAACCTCCATCTTTTGTAATTAGCATATTGTGTTCTGAATATTTTTGTTGTCCACGCAATGAGGAGATAATCTCCTTGATGATAGACTTCTCTTGGTTCCATCTAAGGAAAGCAACAAATGAATGAAAAGTATAATTGGAGATAGTAGTTCAGATTTTAGTTTATGTTTTGCTAGGAGTTGGTTTATTTCTGTCGTTATTTCTTTGTCAGTGGTTCTTCACTTGACTAGTTGAACGTCTCTAACAACCATTTATTTTCTTACATGTGCAGGCAACTAGTGGGGCACTCATGGAGAATGTGGTCACACACTTGCAACTGATTGGATCGAGAACAAAGCAGCATGGTGTCCCAACTTCAGTAGGAAAAGAACTAAAGGAGCTTATGCATGTTGTCTTGACATCTGTCAGAAAGGGGCTCCTGCCCTCAACTTACTTTAAAGTCATGATCATACTGTTGGGCCACACAGATCGAAATGTGAGAAAGAAGGTGAGAAATTTCACTAGGCATCAGTTAACGTAACATATTTATCCACTCACCCTCTATAAACTTGTTTTATTTGATTACTAATGGCAGTTCATGTCTCCTTTTGCTACTCTGTCTAACCCCTTTTAACATTAGAACCCACATTTATGTAGTGAGTGATTAAATAATTAACCTTCCATCTTCTATGGTGCTTTGTTGTTTTGAAGTGTTGCACAACTTTGGAGTTACCATAGATTGAGGGCGACTGATACTATTATCTATCATGTAAGGCTGTCAGCTACAGTGTTGTAGTTTGCATGTAGTATAAGTGTTGAAGAAATGTTAACGCTTCATATGAAGATTATAGAACTTAATACAGTTTACTGAAGGAAACTTTTAAGAGCCGAATCTCATAAAAAGCATCCTTGAGAACTAACCAGTAAATTGCATCATGAAATGGTCATCTGGCATCATTTATTAATATTATAGAAGGGAAGAATTATAAGATAATGGTATCCATAGCAGTCTATGTTCTTAGCTTTTTGCAATACAGCACATGTAAATAATACTCTCTGAAGGGTTTTAGCCATCAGAACCAACTAGACAACATTTCTAGCTGCTTTACCACTGAGCGTCCCATATAGATTTTTTTATCTACACCTTAATACCCAAGAGCCTGGTTCATGGATGATGGGATAAATCTCCTTTGCACGCTCTCTCTCTCTCTCTCTCTCTCTCTCTCTCTCTCTCTCTCTCTCCCCATCATGTTCTGGAATTAAAGAGAAATTCTGCAATCTTTTAACAAGCTTACTTTTCATCAATTGATCATCTTTCATCAGTGATAGGTTTTATTTTTCTCCACTGTAGCATACCTTTTGGTGTGTTCAATGAAATGTTGGATGTGCCCGAATTGCTTAATAAATAATGTGGTATTGTTTGTTGAGATTTAGGGGCTGGTGACAAAGGAGCATGTTCTGGTGGTGAGGTTTGTTTCATTTTTGGAGGGTTATTATGATGGTGGTGGCACTTGTAGCTGTTGCTTTTAGTATTGATCACTTTGTTGTGGGGTCTAATTATGGAGGAAGAAGATGTGGCCATCACAACTCGTTCTTTTTTTGTGTGTCGCACGATATCAGATGTGATAGAATTTTAAATGTGTCTTACTCTTTTTCTTCCAAAATTTGAGCTTGTGTGTTCACTCAACTCTATTTGTGAGTATGACCATAGCTCTAAAATTAACAAGCCTTCTACCTGAAACTAGTTAGGTTATGTGAATTTGTCTTTGAACATTCTGCCTCACCACCTTCTATTACATTTCAGTTCCATTTGTACTCCAAAGCTTTCTGTGTTATCCACCTTGCTTTTCCCTATGACTACCATTTTCATTTCTCATTAACACAAGATCCATTCCCTAACTATGCCTCCAACTTCCATTTCGAAACCCCTAAGGTCGCTATCCATTTCTTCTTTCAATCCGGATGTATCAAAAACCTTTAAAATATAGGTTTCTTTGCTTTTCCAAATCACAGACAATTCTTCTACAATATTTAGCATCTTTTGGTGTTAATATCAATTCCTGCCTTAAGATGTTTTGCATGAGATTAAATTTCTATTTTCATACCCTAATTAGCTTGGCATAATGACCTTGTGAGTTATACCGAGTTCTACAACAATTTATGAAACAAATGCATAGTTTTGTGTCATCTGTTCATCAATATTTTGTACATCTTTTTGCAGAAACATTGGTATGATTGTCTATGAACCTTGGTATACTATATTATTTGCATTTTGCTGGTGCTCTTATTGGCTCATTTATTTCTTCTTACAGGCTCTGGGGCTTCTATGTGAGATGGCTAAAGAGTGCAGCACATTGACTCAGAAGCATCATAGGAAGGTATTGAACCCAAGTGTAAGAAGCTCATGGCTTTGTTTTGATGAACTTACATTGCAATGCTTCGAGAAAATGTGCCATGAGATCTTGAAGATAGTTGATGACCGTGCTAATAGTTTGAATTATGGTTCCTTGAGACTCGCTGCAGTTTCTACCCTTGAAGTTTTAGTGACTGTATTTTCTTCTAGTGATTCCATTTTCAACGTATGTCTAGCAACTGTTATTAAGCATATACATTCCGACGACTTGGCTTTCTCCTCTGGCTGTTTCCGGACTGTTGGTGCACTGATTAACGTGCTTGGTCCTAGAGCTCTCTCTGAGCTTCCCAGCATCATGGACCATGTCTTTCGAAGGTGTCATTCTGTCTCTTCATGTAAAAAGCCAGAAATCAAAGACACTGATGATATCAGTTCGAGCATCTCATCAAATTCGGAAGAACCTCTCTTCATGTCTATTCTTGTTACAATAGAGGCAGTCATCGATAAGCTTGGTGGTTTCTTAAACCCGTATCTTGGTCAAATTCTCGAACTTCTAATTTTGCGTCCTCAGTATGCAAACAACTCCAGTTCGAAATTGACATTGAAAGCTGATGCGGTGCAAAAACTTATAACAGGAAAAATTCCTGTAAGTTATAACGCTAGCTCAAAATTTGACATGGGTCTTGTATTAGCTTGGCTCTCACTTTTTTAGCTGAATCTTATTTTGAAATAATTTGTTTTACCAGGTTCGACTGTCGCTTCCACCTCTCTTGAAGATATACTCTGAAGCAATCAAATGTGGGAATTCAGCGTTATCAATTACTTTTCAGATGTTAGGGAATTTCATTAGTACGATGGATCGATTATCTATATCTGCCTATTACTTAAATATTTTTGACCTGTGCTTGCTTGCTCTCGATCTTCGTCGGCAACACCCTGCTTCAGTCGAGAATATTGCGGCTGTTGAGAAGGATGTCATCAATGCAATGGTGGCTCTTACAATGAAACTTACGGAGAACATGTTTAAGCCTCTTTTTATTAGGTGTGTTGAGTGGTCGGAATATGCGGAACAAACTGAAGATTCAGGGCATGCAAATATCGACAGGGCAATATCTTTCTTCGGTTTGATACAGAAGCTTGTTGACAGCCATCGGTGAGTTGCTCATATTTATTTTTCCTTTTAGTGGTTGATGAGGATAATCTTCTGATAGATTTTTTTAATGCGAGACCTTTTGACAGATATTAAGGCGTTCTATTGTAGGGAGAAGCGTTCTTAAATCTGTTGGAAGGCCATGAATTTAAAAAAGAGAATAAACTACGATTTTCGTCCCTGTGGCATGTTAAAAATTGTTACTTTTATCCCTGTGCTTCCGAAATTACTGTTTTCGAAGGGTTGCACATCGTTGCTGTTTTCATCTCTGAGACTTGTTTCGACAGTGGTTTTGCTGTTAAGCATGAGTGACGAAAACAACAATAAATTGTAAACCACAGGGACAAAAAAAGTAATATCGAAAACACAAGGATGTAAATAGGAATTTTCAACAAACCACGGATGAAAACCTAGTTTACTCTACAAAAGATGTAAATAGGAATTTTCAACAAACCACGGATGAAAACCTAGTTTACTCTACAAAAATAGGTCGGAAGGTTTCGTTGATTATGATGAATTGATTGCCTGCTCATGTTGTTTTCTATGTAGTCTTCTAATTTTTTTTTACTGTGATGCATAGATCTTTGTTTGTTCCATACTTCAAGTACTTTCTTAATGGGTTGGTGCGGCATCTGAGTGATGATGTTGCACGACCTGGTCCAACTCGAAAGAAGAAGGCAAAGCTTGTGGACCCGAATATAAACAAAGGTCAGGAGAATTCTAGTTTGTCTGTTGGAAAGTGGCATTTAAGAGCGCTGGTGTTGTCGTCTCTACATAGATGTTTCCTTTATGACACTGGAAACCTCGAGTTTCTTGACTCCTCAAATTTCCAAGTAAGCAAAGTGCTGTTAGTTCTTTTCTATTTTATTTCGTTGTACAACTCTCTAACTCTGTTCTATCAAATTACTTGGCATCTTTGTATCATGCATCAATCACCGCTGCACCCATAGAATATGGTTAATTATAGCTCCAAAAATGAAGAACCGAATTGCTTCAGCCCTTTGTGTTATGCTAGAGGATTAAATTTATTTTGCTACACTTTCATATACAGTCATCGAGCTAATTCATTTTCGATAGTGGCATTTAATCATACTTAGAAAGATATTTTGTCATATATGATCCAAGTTGAAACTGGGTCCTGGATTTTGTCTGCAGGAGTTGTTGAAACCTATCATCTCACAACTTGTTGTTGATCCACCAAGCTCTCTCGAACAGCATCCAGACGTACCCTCAGTGAACGAGGTTGATGATGTGTTGGTTTCTTGTGTTGGGCAAATGGCTGTTACATCTGCCAGTGACCTTCTGTGGAAACCACTCAATCATGAGGTTAGTCTTGGGTCTGTTTCATTTGTTTGCATTTATACACTGTGTTTCAAGTTAGCAATTACCCTCCATCCCATTAGAATCACAACATTTACTTTTCAAGTTAGAATTAATTAAATATCTGCAGATTTGGGTTCAAAAGAGTATATCTTATTATGTCATTTAGTACAAACATTTCATAGATATCAAACACTAAAACTGTTCTTTATTAATTAATGCAACTTTTATGCGACTAAGAGAGTTCCTCATGGCTCTAATGTGTAGTTTTTAGTTACTTGGGAAAATGTAATTTATTTTGAGATCATGCTCCATGAATGGTCTAATGTGTAGATTTTAGTTACTAGTTACCAATGACATATATTTCGGGTGGCTACTGCTGAACATTGGCCAAGCAGTTGCTGACCGATCTTTTTGGCTTTTCGTTGCAAATTAACCATCTTCTGCAGAAATGCAAAGAAAATAAATAGCACATGTAAGAGTGAACAACTTTTAGACATACAATGTCCATTCTTGCCAACAATTGTTTTTTCTGCATCTTTGTAAGAACAATTATTAGTTTACAATGAAAAGACAAGTATGTGGGTTCATAAGGTCAACCATCCTAATAATATTAGTAGTGCCACTTATTCTTAGCTAAACCAAACAAGCCCAATATCTCCCACTTGAAAGTAGGGTATGGGAGTAGGATATGTACAGACAAGTCCACCCCAAAGGGTAGAGTTGCTATTACATAAAGCAGCCACCCTATATACGTTTTTTGTGCCTTTTTTTTCTGCTGCTTACTATGTGCTACTCTTGGTTATTTTCTTTCGCTTTTACTCACACCTTGAAAACAGCCATTCTGCTTTTTTTTGGGGGGGGGGGGGTAAAAGATCATGTTTGCATGCATCCCAACTCTCCCAGACCCTGCTTTTGAGTCAGACGTACTGGGGTGTATTTGGTTTATATAAACTTTATCATGAGGATGGTCCAGAAAAGTGTATGATACCCTCCTTTCGAATGTTTATTATGTAGGTATTGATGCAAACACGAAGTGAGAAGGTACGCAGTCGAATACTAGGATTAAAGATAGTGAAGTACATGGTAGAGAATCTAAGGGAGGAGTATCTAGTATTGTTGCCGGAAACCATACCGTTCCTTGGCGAATTGCTAGAAGACGTAGAACCATCTGTCAAATCGCTTGCTCAAGAAATTCTAAAGGAAATGGAAACGATGAGTGGAGAAAGCCTTCGCCAGTATTTGTAACATTCTAAATTCATTTAGCAGATATCTGCAAGTTCTAATAGGTTCAAATTTTGCAGCAGTTTGTAATGTTTTGGCAAATACAAAATGAGGGGCTTTTGTTTCAGATTTTGGATTCTGATTCCAAAACTCTTGTATTCATGGGAATCACAAGCCCATGTTTATTATATTATGATAAAAAATGAGTAAATTTAGTTATATTTAGATATGGAAGGGTGAAATTAGCGAAGGGAGGGACATGTTATTCGGTTTATATGTTATCTGATTTATATTTTTTAATTTTCTTTATTAAAAAATATTGGTACATTTATTCCTGAAACGAACAAACACAATATGATAATATCTAGGTCTTGGAGATAGAATGATGGTACTAATCATCTACTATTGGTTCATTGTAAAGAATGAGAACGAAAATGAAAATGAATGATGTCGTTTGCTTAATACTCATAAATTGTTATAACAATCGTTAGATGCTATGCCGTTAAACCAATATAATCGATTAAAAATTGTTTCATACAATGTTTTCAATACAAACTTGTTATGTCTAACTTGAAAAATGTAAAATATGTTCCATTCAACCTCAAAAAAAAAAAAAAAACAATACAATTTAATGTTGATAAGCTTCTAAGTTCACCTTAGATTTGATATAGAAAAATGAATTAGGTGTCAATTTCGATTCCAAGACTTCCTTTTCTTTTTCCAAAAATCAATGGAATACATGGATTTATCAAGAGATGTAGCGACGTACGGGAAAAGAGGACCTTGCGGGAATGAAATTTTTATTCCATCCAATTTGGCTAGGTATCTATACTATATTATAAAGCATTTGACAAAAACTCTTAAAAACCACTTTTTATGCATAAAGTACTGTTTATTAATGCATATTATTTAAAACTAGATTACAAATAGATTGTGCGTAAGTAGAAGGTATTAAAGCTTCATATCTGAATTCGTGTAACTAGTTGCAGATAAACACAATCAAATACAATAATTTGTTAAATTTATGTCTTTATAATAATTTTTTTTTTGTATATTAAATACTTTTAGTAAATTAGTTAAATTTATGTCTTTATATCTTATTATCTAATATATAATTGAGTTTTTAGTTTTAATCCATTTTTAATTATTAAATTATCATCCAACTAAAACAAAACATATATAAAAATTACAATTTATTTGAGTTAGAATATGTTTCATTCTTATCTCTCTTTTTCAAAGACAAAACTCTCAAAAGACTAGTAGACAAAATTCTCTAAACGAAGCATGATGATAATGGTACACCTGTTTACAGTTGTATCTAATAAATGCGGCAGACAGAAACAAAGCATCTTGCTTTTATTTTTACTTTTCTAGAAACAAATCATATTGTTTCTGGATCAAACAAATTAACTGTTTTGCAAAATAATATAATTATCTCTCTTTAACACTTTTTAATCAAAAAGTAGATCTTATCAATTGCACCAATGTTATGCAAACTACATGGAACGAGACGGAAAAAAAAAATAATCCCTTATTTGGTATGCCATGGACAAAAATTACATGGGACAAAATGAGACTATTTTAAAATCTGATGGAACAAAAAGAGACTAAATACAAATTTGCTATCTTACCTTAAAATCCAATAAAAAAAAAACTAAACCCTCCTTATCATCGTCTCTTTCACACCCACATTTCCACGACCAGAGCTCTTCCACATTGCCTCCTTCCACACCGCCTCCTTCCACCGCCTCCTTCCATATCGGTATGATTTCTTTTTTGGCATCGATTTCTTTTTGCTGCGTCGATTTCATTATTGCGATTCTTTGCTGCGTCGATTTCTGATTTCTTTTTGACTGTAAACCCTAACAAAATCGATTCCACATCGTTCTTTTCTTGGATTCTTGACTGTAAACCCTAACAAAATCCTCTTACTAAGTCGTTTGAGTACCATTAAAAACCCACATGCATGTTCAAATTTCTGCGTAAAAAAGGAACTGATGGAGATGCCATAGTTGATTTTACTATAGTTGAGGAATTGGTCGTTTGAGTACCATTAGAATCTAGGTAACTATCATCTTGTAGAATGGAAATGCCATAGTTGATTTTATTGCCTCAAGAGTTAGTTCAAGATTGTGGGTAGAAYATGTGTGATAGGAAACTGTCACCTGTATGTTTGCAATTTCATAAGTTTATTATCATGGCATTCCATATTTTAGTTGATTTGTTGTCATTTTATAATCATTATATGATACAAAATAACATTGAACAACATTTAAGGATAATATGGTCATTTTAACAGTTTTGTCCCGTCCTGTCCTAGTTGTACCAAACATGGGACAGACAATTAGTCCCGTCCTGTCCCGTCCCGTCCTGTCCCGTCCAGTCTGCGTAACAAACACTACCTTAAGTATATTTCAACATGAATTATTTTTGATCAATCAAGAAGCACTTCAAACATATTTTTAGCACTTCAAATAATTAATTGAAGATGAATCATAGCTATTATTATAACAATTTATCGGATAAGATTTTTAATCTATCAAAACAGTATCGTATGTATCAATTTATCCGGTAAACGTTTTCCGTGGTGAGAGTCGTCCAACCTTATTGAATAAGATTTTTGGTTATTGTTTTACTTATGTCGGATAACATTCTTATTTCTTCACCATATTTCATCGACTTGACAAGTTGCTTACTAAATTCTATTCTCAAAAATATTTTGTTAGCACCGTTAGCTCTTTTTGCATTTGTTTTAGGGTTTAAGACCTTCGACAAAAATTGACGGAAAATCTCCATTTGCATCAACAGACAGCTACACGTAATGCCTTTCTTCTCCATGTCTGCTTATGATCTGCGTGTTTTCTTATAGACAACTTCTTATTCTTCACCCTCAAATCCCTCTCCGTTTTCTTCCGATTTCTCTAACTGTTTTAAGGAATTTTGTTTTTTAATAGGTTTGTTGCGACTGCAATGATGCCTCGATGGAGCAGGACCCTAGCTAATATTTACAGGGTAGGGCGACAGACTAAATCAGATATGGCTTCAGATTTGTTTGTTTTCCCTTGCCGGCGAATTTCTAGGATTGCGGCCGTAGAGGTGCCGGTAGCTTCAGATGCTTCCGAGAAAAACTATACTGCTAAATCAGAGGTACTTCCTTCCATCGTCAGTTTTTCCGCTTTGTGGGTTTTCATTTTTTCTTGATAGCGGTAATGTTTGAGGGGACTTCAATTCACTGGCTTGGTTTAGAACTGAATCTAAGTTAGTCAGACTTCCCATTTAGAAATATGGATTTTTTAATTCAAACAAGCATTATAAATACTCCCAGTTTCTAACATTCGTCAAGATTATGGTTATATTTTATCATGAGTGGTGAACTTCAGTACATAAGATATTTTTATACTAAAAGAGGAATCGTATTTGGAAACAAGTTTGTTTTGGGTGCAAAATGGACTCTTTGTTGAGCTGAGGTAGTACTATTTTGATTTTCCCCTCTGGATTTTTAAGATCTTGAATACGGTCATTGGTTGTTTGTTTTTTATTAACTTTTTTCTCTAAGGCCCTCATAACATTGGGATACTGAATGTGTAACCTTACAAATAAATTTCGGGTTATTCTGATATCAAATGGGTGCTTGATAAGCCTACTATTCGCTTTACATATAAAAGAAGATCTAAGTAGTTGAAGTTTACTTTAGTTGTAAATAAGTGGAGGGTAGTTTGGTACTCTCAATAGAAAATAGAGACAACTCCTTTATAGTGGGTAGGTTGTTAGTGGAGCTGGTATTCTGTTTTGTGAGATTGTAAAAGGGCGCAAGCTCTAAGGTAGAGAACCGGCCTCTTGAAAGCCGTGTAATCCATTGTATTTCCATTTCCTTTTACTCAATTCAATAAGAAAGCTACCGACTACAATCAATTTGCATCAAATTGGTATCAGAGCGAGTTCGATCCAACCATGGGAACGAGAAGTGCGACAGCCAGAATAGATGATTTGGAAAGCTGTGTTGGTTCAATTGAGAAGAATCAACAGCTAATGGAGAAGAATTTGGAGAAGATTTTTTAGCAATTGGAAAATTAAGCAACGAAGTATCAGCTAGGGTGATTACGTCAGGATCATCGGACGGTGAAGATGGGGAGGAAACGGCGAAATCTAAGAGGAAGAACGAGGAGTGGCAGGGATCGAGTCGACTCTTTGCTGTGAAAGGTCGAAAGCTGGAATTCCTTTTTTCGACGGAACCAATCCTGATGGATGGATTCTTCGTGCGGAACGCTATTTTTATCTAAATCAATTGACGTAACATGAAAAAATTGACGTATCCTTTATAGCGTTTGAAGGTACTGCTTTAAAATGGTTTCAGTGGGAGAATCGTCGGCATCCGATTTCATGATGGGAGGATTTGCGTCAATTAATTCTTCGTCAATTCAGATTGGCAGCAGCTGGAACTTTATGCAAGCAATTTTTGGCTGTAAAAAAGGAAGGTACAGTTGATGAATTTAGGATGAAGTTTGTGGAATTGGCGGCACCATTAGAAGGAATTACGGAAGAGGTATTCATGAGTCAATTCATCAACGGTTTGGAGAATTCGATCAAAGCTGAGGTTAGACTTCTCAATCCAGTAACACTTGAGGAAGCGATGGAGATGGCTATGAAAATCGAAGTTAAAAATACTGTGATCGCTAAGGAAAGAACATTCTCAGTGCCAAAAAAATCATTTCCGACGTTCTTGGGTAATAGGTTTGCTACCGGTGGGGCTGAATCAGTTAACAGTTCTAGTTCGATGAACAATTCGATAAACAACTCGAGATCGGAGTATAGAAGACTGTCGGATCAGGAGGTTCAACGGAAACGAGCTTTGGGCCTTTGTCATCGTTGTGATGAGAAGTATTCTCCAGGCCATAAGTGTAAGAAAAAAGAGTTGAAGGTTTTGTTAGTACAAGAGGAGGAAACAATGGATTCTGGTAGCGAAGTAGAGGACGGTAAAGTGCTGAATACAGCTGACGTGATTGAGGTGAGTAAAGAAGTAGAAGTTCATCTTAATTCGGTGGTAGGCCTAACGAATCCGAAAACTATGAAAATGAAAGGATGCATAGAAGGTCAAAAGGTGGTAATCCTCATTGATAGTGGAGCAACTCACAATTTCATTTCCAAAGATATCGTAGATAAGTTGAATTTGAATATTGACAAAACGAAGGAGTATTTTATAATGATGGGAATGGGGAACCAAGTGAAGAGTGACGGGATTTGTAAGCATGTTGTGTTGAATGTGCAAAGTTTGGAGGTGGTAGAAGACTTTCTATCCATACAATTGGGAAACAGTGATGTGATCTTGGGGATTCAATGGCTGGAAACCTTAGGAGCAACGCACACTAATTGGAAACAACAAGTTATGAAGTTCACGATCGGAGGTAAATCAGTGGCGCTGAAAGGTGATCCCGCTCTAGGGAAATCGTTAGTTTCATTAAAGGCAATGGGGAAATTGATCCAACAAGAAGGACAAGCTGTTCTAGTGGAGTTGGGAGCCTATGCATTGATGAATGATGAAGTGCAGGAAGTAGGGCCGAAGGTACAATCTGTTCTCGAAGAGTTTGAGCAAGTATTCAATATGCCAAAAGGGTTACCACCAAGGAGAGGTAAGGAACATGAAATTATGTTGAAGGAGGGAACAGATGGAGTCAACGTGAGACCTTATCGTTACCCACACTACCAGAAAGATGAAATAGAAAAGTTGGTGAAAGAAATGTTGGAAGCAGAGGTGATTCAGCCGAGCAACAGTCCTTTTTCAAGTCCCGTCTTGTTAGTCAAGAAAAAAGATGGTAGTTGGAGGTTTTGCATCGACTATAGAGCTCTCAATAAGGCTACGGTGGTAGATAAATTTCCGATACCGATGATCGATGAGCTGCTAGATGAATTATACAGTGCTAAAGTGTTCTCCAAACTCGACCTGAAATCGGGGTATCACCAGATTCGTATGAAGGATGAAGACATTCAAAAGACAGCTTTTAGAACGCATCAAGGCCACTACGAGTTTAAAGTAATGCCTTCCGGTCTTGTAAATGCCCCTTCCACTTTTCAAGGATTGATGAACTAGGTTTTTAAAGACTGTTAAAGAAAGTTCGTGCTAGTGTTTTTTGACGATATATTGGTGTATAGTCGATCGGAGGAAGAACACATTGACCATTTGAGATTAGTGTTCCAATTGTTATCTCAAAACAAATTATATGCCAATAAAAAGAAGTGTGAATTTGGTCAAGAAAGACTGGGTTACTTGGGTCATATGATCTCAAGTAAAGGAGTAGAGGTAGATGATTCTAAAATCAAAACGATTTTAGAGTGGAAGGTACCTCGAAACATTACGGAGTTGAGAGGTTTTTTGGGGTTATCGGGATATTATCGAAAATTTGTGAAGGGATATAGAGTTATAGCTAGTCCCCTCACGGATTTACTTAAAAAAAACCAATTTGGTTGGACTGAGGAAGCACAAGAGGCTTTTTAGAAATTGAAGAAAATATTGTCTTCACTACCAGTGTTGAAGCTGCCTGATTTTTCAGCCGAGTTTGTGTTCGAGACGGATGCTTCCAGGACAGGGTTGGGGCTGTTTTGATGCAGAATGAACAGCCCGTGGCTTATTACAGTCAAGTTCTAGGCACAAGAGCAAGGCAAAAGTCGACTTATGAGAAAGAATTGATGGCCATAGTGTTGGCTGTGAAGAAGTGGAGACCCTATCTGCTTGGCAGACATTTCACGGTTCGCAGCGATCAACAGAGTCTACGTTATTTGCTAGAGTAACGAGTGGTGGAACCGGAATATCAGAATTGGATGAGTAAACTAATGGGATATAATTTTTCGATCATTTACAAACAAGGGAGTGCTAATAAAGCTGCTGATGCACTCTCTCGTAAGCATGAAGAGGTAGAGTTATCTAATTTGAGTGTACCAACACGAAGACAGTGGGAAAGTTTGAAAGAAGAACTAGAAAAAGATGATTTTTTGGTCAAAATAAAAGAAGTGTTGAAAGATGTTAGCCGACATAAAGGTTTCGAAGTAAGACAAGAATTGTTATTCTTTAAAGGTAGATTGGTGGTGCCCATAAAGTCGATGATTATTCCGAAGTTGTTTGAAGAATTCCATGCGTCACCGATCGGGGGACAAAACGGTGAAGAAAGAACGTACCATAGGATGGCAGCCGAGTTATTCTGGATTGATATGAAGAAGGACGTACATAATATGGTTAAAGAATGCGAGTCATGTCAGAGGAACAAAGTCTTAAGTGGTTCACCGGCGGGGTTACTACAGCTGTTGACTCTTCCAGATACAGTTTGGAGTGACATTTTGATGGATATCATCGAGGGACTACCAATTTCAGGTGGTTTGAATTCTATCTTGGTGGTGGTAGATAGATTCAGCAAATACGCTCACTTTGTGGGTTTAAAGCATCTTTTTACGGCTCAATCGGTAGCGGAGGTATTTTCTAAGGAGATAATCCGATTGCATGGGGTACCCAATTCAATCGTTTATGATCGTGACAAAGTATTCCGAAGTAACTTCTGGAAAGAATTGTTCAAATTGCAAGGAACGACTCTGAAATTTAGTTCGGCTTATTATCCACAAACGGATGGTCAAACCGAAGTGGTGAACAGAGGGCTGGAACAATATTTGAGATGCTGGATTTCGGATAGACCCTGCCAATGGAGCAAATGGTTGTCATGGGCAGAACTGTCATACAACACGGTCTATCATACAACTCTTAAATGTTCTCCGTTCAAGGTGTTGTATGTACGGGATCCTCCTCCTTTATTACGTTATAAAGATGCTTCGGCTGTGGTACAAGCAGTGGACATGGAATTGATGAGTCGAGATGAGATATGGGATGAGGTGCGAATGCATCTTTTGAAGGCGCAGTGTAGAATGAAAAAGCAAGCTGATTTGAAAAGAACCGAGGTGGATTTTGTTGTTAATGATTTGGTGTTTCTGAAGCTTAGACCCTATCGACAAAAATCCCTTTGTGAATGGGAATAGTCCAAAGTTGATTGCATGATTTTATGGTCCTTACAAAGTCTTGGAAAAGTCGCTTATTGTTTAGACTTACCGGAGGGAGTAAAGATACATTCTGTCTTCCATGTATCTCAACTTAGAAAAGCTGTCGGGAATTGTTTGGTTGCAAAGAACATACCAACTCAAGTATTTGCTGATATGGTGTTACAAGTAGAGCCAAAAGCCTTGTTGGAGGTCAGAAGGGTGGAAAAAAATGATGCAAAAAGTTTGGAAGTGTTAGTCAAGTGGAAAGGGCTGTCTGATTTCGAGTCGACTTGGGAGAATCTGGAAGCTTTGGCTCGGCAGTTTCCTAATAATCACCTTGAGGACAAGGTGAAAGCTTTGGGGGGAGGTATTGATAAGCCTACTATTCGCTTTACATATAAAAGAAGATCTAAGTAGTTGAAGTTTACTTTAGTTGTAAATAAGTGGAGGGTAGTTTGGTACTTTCTCAATAGAATAATAGAGACAACTCCTTTATAGTGGGAAGTTTGTTAGTGGAGCTGGTATTCTGTTTTGTGAGATTGTAAAAGGGCGCAAGCTCTAAGGGAGAGAACCGGCCTCTCGAAAGCCATGTAATCCATTGTATTTCCATTTCCTTTTACTCAATTCAATAAGAAAGCTACCGACTACAATCAATTTGCATCAGTGCTCTTCTTTTGATTCAACTTATCTATTATAACACTGGTGGTAATTTACTGTTAAGTTATTCATTTTTGTGTTGATAAACGTGCACTGCTTTCCACAGGTAAATCTGAGTAAGATGTTCCGTTCCAAGCCTTGTTCTTTAGCCTTGCCACCTGAATCCCCTCTGAGGATTGAGGAGCCTAACTACGAGGGTATCCGCCAGTTTCTCCTCAAGTTGATGTTGTTCTATAGCAAACAGAGCACGTCTATTCGAGCAGCAAATGTTATTTACCGCCGTGTTGTATCTCAAGCTGATAAACCTGCCATTTATGACGGTTAGTCTTTGATTGTTCTCATCTTGATAAGATAGCATATTTTTCTTAAATGTTCATTTGATTGAGTTGCCCTATAGTATAGTTAAAACTAGTCTTTGTCAAGCCTTTGCCACTGCTAAGGTAGATGCCTGACCACATCTATAGCCTATAGGTTCATTAGTTTCATGGATTTGAAGTTTCAAATTAAAATTAATTATCCTAGGATTTATTGTTTAGTTTCAGTTAGGTTTATGCCTAATTCTGTCGTTGTATATGCCTCAAGACAGTGCTTAGTGCCTTAATCTATTGTCTGTATATGACCTTAGACTTTTTTTTGATCCACCAAAATTGCATTCCAAGAAATATACTTCTACTTGAATTGCTATGGGAAATGAACTATGATTTTTTTGCATTCTCAGACTTTTCTCAGATACACCACCTTCTAGATGGATAAACTCAAGACAATCTTTTGACCCCCAACATGAGATTGTTGCTTTGTTATTACCGGGTGGCTAAGGTTATCTAGATTGGAAAATAGGTTATTATAATCGTATATTGTAAGTATTCATGCGTGTAAAACAGGCAAGCTGAAATTTTTTGTTGGTGTTGTATGTCAAACATGTCAAGATGCTTTTTGTTGTATGGATCCCTCACTTGACCTTTGCAGTCAGTGGCCAATGTGAATGAGTGTATTGGTTGTGATGAACAACTTTAATATTTCCACCATCACAGAAAATGAATGCTACGATTAACTAGGCAAACAGTTTAAGATGTTTTTGTATTATATATGAGATGCCTGACAATAATCATAAAATTGAGGAATCTCGTGGACCAAAGTTAATGCAATAAATGTTTTGTAATTATTAATAGTCGGAAAATAGGTAATTTTGGTTGAAACATTGTCAAAAAAATAGAATTGTTGCATTTAGCTTGCGATATCGTACAAAGGAAATTGCTGCATTTATTTTAGATGGAGGGAGTGGATCTGCATATATCATAAGCACACTGGAGCAATGATCCCAGCTGTCTCTTATTTTTTTGTTCTTTTCATCTATTATTAGTAATTATTAATGCAATAAATGTTTTGTAATTATTAATAGTCGGAAAATAGGTAATTTTGGTTGAAACATTGTCAAAAAATAGAAATGTTGCATTTAGCTTGCGATATCGTACAAAGGAAATTGCTGCATTTATTTTAGATGGAGGGAGTGGATCTGCACATATCATAAGCACACTGGAGCAATGATCCCAGCTGTCTCTTATTTTTTTGTTCTTTTCATCTATTATTTGTTTAGCGTTCTTTTGGATCACAAGATAAGGCGTGTTTGTGTTTATAGATAACCAAGTTATGCATGCAGGAATTGTAATATCTAACTATTTTCCCTTTTGAGATTTTTGCCACACCCATTTAACCTATTCCTAAATCCTGTTTTAGTCATGGTTGTTACTTCCCAATGTTTCATAAATGATAGTTTCATGCCTGTTGGGAGTGTTTAGTTTGGTGAAAGTTTTGCTTTCTAGGAGAGAGGAGATACCTGATTTGCTGCAATTTCCTATGTTCTATAATTTAAAATAAATACTCAGACTTTATGCTATTTGTGCTGTAACCAATTCTGCTCTTGCTTAATTTCTGCTGTGCTTTCTTGAGATATATGCAGAGTCTCTATCTTTTAATAGATAAAATTTACTTTGGCATGCAGTTTTTAGCTTGGAGAAAACCTTTAGAACAACATTCTGCATGCTCGTATTACACATGTGGTTATGTTTGCGTCGCTTGAAAGCAGAAGGAAAGGAAGGTGTTGAATTGGGGCAATATGTGTACGAAATCTATAATCATGATCTGGAGATGAGAGTTTCAAAAGCTGGGGTCGGTAGTCTGCATTGATAGACTTTTTGGCTATTAATTTTATATCTTGTTGTTAATTGGCCTCCTAATGGTAGAAGAGAATTTCTTGCTAGATGGAAATATGTTCTTATTGTTAAAGTTCTCACAAGCATGAATGTTCTTGCTATCCGACTAAATAGGATGTCACTAAGTTTTTAGGATTTTTTTTGCATCTTTAATCTTGTTTTATTACTCTCTTGGTCTCTCCCCCATAATGGTCACAGCAAATGACTCTTGACCCGCAGTAAGGAGTATATTAGACTGTATCTAATTTCTGAAAATGCACCTGCTTTCAAGTAGCATATTAATGAATTAGATGACAATCTTGGTGAAAAAATTTCGAAGAAAGTTTCTAATCCTTTGAGCAACATGAAAATTTGAAAGTTGAGGTAGGGATTGTGGTACACCCAATTGCATATCAAATCAATCGAGTAAGTTTTGTAATGATGGAGGAGTACAATAAGTTGGTATTTCATGTATTACATCAACTAAACCGAGTAATCTTGCATTTGACATGGAAAATCCAAAAAATGGAAATCGTTTCAGCTATTGTGGGACATTGATGTTCCAAGTATCTTTTATGCATGCCTGTTAGCTTAGGGCATGGAAATCCATAGTATCTTGATTAATGTGAAGGATCCATTTCTTGCGACTACACAAATCCTATATCAGTAATATAGTTCTTTTTTCTTATTGGAGTGCAGGTTAATTTACTGTTGTCTAAATGGATGAGGGAGTTGGAAAAAGTATTTTATGGCAATATTGTTGCTTTTGATACCGCCATGCTTCCAGAAGCTAAACCGGATGAGTTGCAGAAAGCAATATGGAAGTAAGGAATTCACTACTTGTTTGTTTCTTAAATTCTATCCGCTCCATCTTAAGGAATTCATTACTTGTTTGTTTTTTGAATTCCATCTGCTCCATCTTGTATCTTTTCAGAGGATGGTTTATTTGGCATCCATCATTGAAGCATTTAGTAATCTTTTAGGAAGTATGTACTTTTTTGAGACAGAGAACCAGGAAAATAGAAGGTTCTACTAGGCTCATCCACTTGACTGTCCGGCCCTTTTATAATCTGAGATGATCTCGATTTATTGTCTTATGATAGGCCTACACTTGCAGTTTACTTACGGTCTGTTTTTGATTAATTTGTATATGCGAGTGACTGTATTTGGTCATAAGACCTCTGAACTTTGATTCTATTTGATGTATGGGGCATATAAAATTTCTTAATGTAGAAATTGGTAGTCTGGCTTTATTTCTATCATACCAAAAAGTTTTGGATCTGTGATAATGTTACGGCTAGCAGTGGTACGGATAGAGGAGATTTGGACTTCCGTATAGCAAGCTATAACAACTCAATTTTAGTATGGATTAAAAGCAGATATACGAGGTTTATTGAGTTGCACAATGAAAGTAGAAAGAGGGGGGGAGTAGGTATTGAGTTATAATTGTTTTAGAAATTGATTTTAATGCATGATGAAATCTGTGTTCTAAGTTCACTACATTCTTTATTAGTCGGTATAAAAAGAAAATCATATTAGTTGATGTTCTAAGGGGATTCTGATGGGTGTTGGGTTCCTGATATTTGAACAAGGCAGACCTGATATTGTTTAGCTCGTTGTCTAAATCGTGCTTGGGATGGCTGCTGACCTCGTCATGTGACTTAAGTCCAATTTGAAGCTTGTTCAAACTATATAGCTAGCTCAACCTGGCTCTAGTAACTCAGTTAACCCAGATAATGTAACATGACATTTTGCGCCAAGTATTGCATCTTAGTCCATGAGCTTGAGTACGAAAATTCTAAATCTGATTTGGGATGTAAACAAGCAATACATGCACAAAGGCGCTAAATCTGTAAATTAATGCTGGTTTAAAATGCTTTGTTGGATGTTGCACTTGCATGACCTCTTTGACATGTATAAAGCTTTGCTCTTTGGCATGGTGTAGACATAAATTGAGCAGATGTGACATCATATGTTGCATAAACATCTTTGCACATTTTGCTGTTTGGAGTTGATCTGCTATTGAATCCCAGTTTGCTTTTGTTTCATAATTTTGCTTACATGTTCTGTAGGAATGTCTTCTTCTCTGAAGATGGTCCATCTAAGCTAGATCCTGCTGCATTACCTGCTGTCCTGGTAAGTTCTTAACCTTGGGTTAATTCATTTTTTCGCGCCATAAATGAGATTATATCCTCTTCTTTGGCCACATACAACACATAACATGTAACATCCTTGGGTATTTTGTCAGACACTTGGGAGGTATGGCTATTAAGCTTTGATTCAGTACATGTCTACCACACAGCTTCCTGTGTTCTTGTAAAGCATTGTTAGTCAAACTCTAGTGTCTTTAACACATTCCGTTCTTCATTTTTGTAAATTTCACATGGCATTTGGGATAGTAGTGCTGGCTTTTTGAGTTTGTAAAGCATTGTCAGTCAAATTCTAGTGTCTTTAACACATTCCGTTCTTCATTTTTGTAAATTTCACATGGCATTTGGGATAATAGTGCTGGCTKTTTGACTTTGTAAAGCATTGTTAGTCAAATTCTAGTGTCTTTAACACATTCCGTTTTTCATTTTTGTAATTTTCACATGGCATTTGGGATAATAGTGCTGGCTTTTTGAGTTGGTGAAAGAAAATATTGTAAATTTTCATGGGTAGGAGCCGTTTCACCATTTGCATGTCTCTTTCAAATTATATTCGCCTTTTAACCTTATTATTTGAATATTTCAGGCTTTCACAAGATACGTTCGGCGAGAATGTACTTGCTTGTCATTAACAGGTACCCCACATTTTCCCATCTCAAGATTTACTTGCTTGCAGTCCCACATATCCTGTTGTTTGTTATACTCCCTTTGTCAAAAGAAGAAAAAGAAAAATAAATGCGATGTTTGACTTGGCACACTTTGATAAAACTGCTTACTAGTGATCAAATGTCCAAAATACCTCTTCACAAGTACAATAAAAGGAAACATGTGGACCAAGGTCAAAGTTACTAATTTCAAATAATGATTGTTAATGGGCTAAAAAGTATAAACTTGAAGTGAAAACTTGCCAAAAAAGGAAAGTATTCGCATTTTTATGGGACTGGTATGTATGCTCAAACCCAATCAGTTCCTTAGAGCAAATATAACCCTGACATATATGGGGAAATCACTGCTTGAAAGCTTATACATTTGTTGGGATTTCTAGTAAACAAGTAAAACTTCGATATGCCATAGAAGTTTCTGGTCAACAACTAACCCTTCAACAAGCCGTAGTGATCCTCAGTCGGTGCTGCTATGGAGAAATTTTTCATACCTAGCAAAAAGGCTTTGGTTGTTAGGATCAATAATCACATATATTCACAATGATAGTTGTAGGAAATTAAAACAAATTGAACATATGGTTCAACAATTTTCCGTTATCTATGATTTTTGCTACGTTTTTTTATTAAGCAAGTTGTCAATTCGCTAGTTCACATGGAAAGGAAACCATCCATTATAAGAAGAAAACTAGACAGTACATGATAAGAAAGAAAAAACCGTCTTCCTCACTGGCTACCTGTCATAATGGATCAGTGTCTAAATCAATCCGATATTTTAGCTTCTTAGAGCATCTCTTGGAAATTCTCCAAAATGGAGAAATTGTAGATGATGGTGTTTTTATCCTTTTCTTTTCCCCAACAGATCCTCCAAAACTCTCTCCAAAATGGAGAAAGTAGTAGAGAGTGTAAAAATCTGAAAATTTAGAGAACCCTTCAAAATTAAATGCTGGAAGTTTGTTGGAGAGTTAAATGTATTGAATATTTTAGTAATAAAATTAATGTTAGAATCTCCAAAATTGTTGGAGTTGGATGTAATTGGAGATTTTGATTTTACATTCTCCATTTTGGAGAAATTATGGAGCAACTATTGTAGATGCTCTGACATACTAAAGGATGTAGTGGAAATCTCATCTTCCGGGGTTCGAATCCAGGCGCTGCCAAAGCCCTAGTAGCCATGGAGGTTCACTTGTTATGACTCTAGGCTGGAAGGCTAGTCAGTGTGCCTAAGCTAGCCCGGAAACCCACGGTCACCCAAAAAAAATAGTCTTTGGCCTTAATTTGACTGCAAATTCACTTGGAACACCTTTGGCTGTTGATTATCACCGGAAAAGAACATAAAAACGTAGCAACCTTGAAATTTTTCTTCTTAGAAGTATTATTGTTAGCCTTTTTTTCATGAGTTTGGTATGATTTATACTATGGAATTTGAAATGGAGAATGCGATTGTGGATGTGCAGATAAAGAAGCAATGTTCTCTGGCAACTTCATGTTCACACCTCTCACAAACCCGAAAACCTAACTCTAATCGGATCAAAACCATGCATGTTTCCTTGAATAAACATTTGTTTTTTACAACATATAAAGCTTGCGTGCAGAGTACTGAAGGTAAGTTTCAGAATATGTATTTTTCGAAAACAATAGTTTTACATTCTTCATATGGAAGACATCACTGCTTTCCTAACAGCAACTGCAACTTGGGTCCCAACCATCGTCAGAACAGGCAAACCTCCTCCGGCTGCCACCGCTGGAACTAAAAGCTTGTAATAGAAAGACAGAGGTGGTTGCCGCGGTCAGTTTGGATGTTGACGAATGAATTTAGGAGCAAAAGAAAGGATCGAAACTTGTTTATTGATGAAGTTACTAATTATGCCCTTCTGCTCTATTCAGTGAATTTATCATGTGGGGTATTGTTTTTATTTGTGATCGATTGGAGACCTACGGTCCATGGTATGAGCTTTTGGAACCATGTCATTGAAGTATCGATTCGGTGTTTCGAGATTTGAAAATGGTATTTGGTATCCAAATTTGTAGTTTTATTGTAAATTGATCATTATTTTTGTTAAATACATAGTGTTACTATTAGGTATTGTTTGGCAAAAATAAGCTAGCTTATTTTCTTGTTACATGTTTGGATGCACATAAACTAGCTTATTGAAACATTACTTGTAGTATCGTTTTGATGACTTATAATCCTCATTGATATTAATTATTATTTATTACTATTAATTATAAATAAAATATAAATATTACTAAATACTAATTATTGATTAATTTTAATCATACATTA